TAACTCCTGCCTCCTACCTCCTGCCTCCTACCTGCTAACTCCTGCCTCCTGCCCCCTACCTCCTGCCTCCTACCTGCTAACTCCTGCCTCCTACCCCCTACCTTCAAGCTCCTGCCTCCTACCTCCTGCCCCCTACCTCCAGTCTCCTACCTCCTACCCCCTACCCCCTAACTCCTGACTCCTACCCCCTACCTCCTACCCCTACCTGCTAACTCCTACCCCCTGCCTCCTGCCTCCTACCTCCTGCCTCCTACCTCCTACCCCCTGCCTCCTACCTCCTATCTCCTGCCTCCTACCTCCTATCTCCTGCCTCCTATCTCCTACCCCCTGCCTCCTACCTCCTCCCTCCTACCCCCTACCTCCTGCCTCCTACCTCCTGCCTCCTGCCTCCTATCTCCTACCTCCTACCCCCTCCCTCCTGCCTCCTATCTCCTACCTCCTACCCCCTACCTCCTACCTCCTGCCCCCTACCTTCTAACTCCTGCCTCCTGCCTCCTACCCCCTACCCCCTGCCTCCTACCTCCTATCTCCTACCCCCTGCCTCCTACCTCCTATCTCCTACCTCCTACCTCCTGCCTCCTACCTCCTGCCTCCTACCTCCTGCCTCCTACCTCCTACCCCCTCCCTCCTACCCCCTACCTCCTCTCTCCTCCCTCCTGCCCCCTGCCCCCTGCCTCGGTGACCCGGTGGGCAGCTCAGGACAGTTAATTACTGCGGCCTCTGCTCTGTCACAGGGTTCATTCCTGAATTATCGCCTCCGACGCTGCAGCAGCGAGCGGCGGCACCGACCGGCTGCACCGCCGCATAGCTGAACCCGGGCAGCTCGGAATAACAGGAACGTCTCGGTAAGCCGGTGGTGCCGACGTCACGCAGACACACGCTGCTGCCACGAGGTATTTGTGGCAGCACGTTATCCGCTCGGATCAAAGGGGATCCAGCTGGGCTCTTTGTGTTCCAGAAACGCTCTCAGGAAGTTCTGCAGGGTTCTGCTAGCGTTTTAAAGCTTTTGTTTAGTTCCTACAACGTGCTTTTCAGAAGTGGGTTCAGTAAAGACGTTCTAAAAATGTTTGGCGATGAAATGGTTAGACAGGACCGAACGTTGCCCCGAGAACGTTCTCTTGTTACGTTATCGTATAACGCTGTGGAACGTTGTGTAAACATTTCATAGATTCTACAACATGTCCCCTCTGAATGTTCAAACGTTCTGTCTTAGTTCACCTCGAACCTCACAGGAACGTTCTGAAGAAGAGTTCCTGCTCATCTTTTCAGCAGGAACGTTTTAAGTTCCTAACAGTGTTGTTCCTAAAGGCTCAGAGCAACGTTCTCCTAAGATGTTTTAACAATGTTATGCCCTAAACGTTGTTAAAACCATATGTTGCATTGAGAACATTGTGAAACGTTGCAGGAACATTTTATGCAAATGTTGTATGATGTCTTTTCTCAAAAGAACCTTGCAGGTAAAATGTTCCACCTTTCTTAATATGTCACAGTACAGGAACGTCCTACAAAGAACGTTTTGTCAACCGAGGTCTTCATAACATCTTGAAAACGTTTTCAGGATGTTGCGTTGAGAACATCCTTACTCTGTTAGAACGTTCTAAAATGTGTTCCCTCAACATCAAGGCTACATGTTCTACCGCTAACATACGTTCTAGAACATTTATTAAAAATGTTCAGTCATCTGACGCCTCGATAACTTTGGTTTGAGAACGTTTCTTCTTTGATATTGAGATTCTTTTATCGAGAACATTCTATAATGTATTGTCGCAAGAACATCCCCAAAACGTCCTCAGAACATTGCAGCCAGAATGTTCCAGCTTTTGTTAAAACATCACATTACAGCAACGTTTAACAAACATCATGTGAGGCCTTGAGAACTTCTGGAAAACATTTTTTGAAAACGTTTTTTTGTTTTTTTAGCCTGGATGATGATCTGTGTTCCTGACCGTCCTGCTGCAGATGTTTTAATGATGCTGCTGGAACACATGATCGGATGTTCTCCAATAAAATGGTCTCACAATGTTCCAGACAACATTGAAAAAATGTTTTTCCAGACGTCATCGAGGTGTCAGACGACTGGACGTTTATTCATGCAGAACATTTTCTAACATTCTCGTAACGTAACGTTAAAGGTAGAACATTCATCCTTTTGTTGAGGGAACACATCAGACAACGTTTCTCTACTAAACGTTTGCTTGGTGGTAACAAAGGAAGGATCTTCTCTAGATGTTATCAGAACGTTCTTTATGAGACATTCCTGTAATGTGATATATCAACAAAGGTGGAACATTCCTCCAGCTATGTTCTGGGGACGTTTTGGGGATGTTGTTGAAGGAACACATCATAGAATCTAAACAACTTCCTTGATAACAAAATAAGGTTCAGTTTGTCTGATGTTGTCGCCAAACGTCTTTAGAACATCTTTCTTTGTGCTGCCTTTAAGAACGACGCTCTGGGGACTTAGACTTCCTATTGAAAATGTTAGTAGAACGTTTTCAGAACATGTTTTGAGAAGACAAACAAACCCCTCTAGCTGGGATATTAACATCATCAGAGCTCGTAGGTAATGTCATGGTCCGGTTCTGTGGCGTCGTCTCTCCGAGAACCGGTGTCGACCCACTTCAACGGCTCATCCAGAACCGCCGCGTCCCCATCTGAGGCGCCATATGCTTCATCTATTGTCAGCTGAAGTGTGTCACGGTCATTTTCCGATAAAGCTGCTGGAAATGAAACGCGACGGCGCCGATGAAAGGGTTCCGCTCTGGCGGAGCATCTGCCGGCTGCTCTTTCATCTTCCCGTTTCATCTCTTTCAGGATTCTGGACGGAAACACAGACATCCCGGCTCTCGCCTCCGTCTCTTCCCATTTTATCACCGCCCAGCTCCATCCGCCTCCTGATCCGCCGCCGCTGCATTCACACGTCTTCTTTAGCTCATTTCACCGTCCGGCCCACTGACTTCCACTTCGTCTTCCGCCTGCTGCTGCTTCATCCATCACCGGCTTTAACAGCAAACCTGCAGCTTCTCCGCCCCGAGCTCCAGCGTTCAACCTCCCCGAGGCCAGAATGTGGTCCAACTTCTTCGTGCAGCAGGACGAGGAGGGTCGGATCGGGGTGGCCGGCGCCGGACAAGGCGGGGTGAAGGGCGGCAGAGGCCAGAGACGGGTCCACAGGATGAGCGACAGCCAAGAGGGCAAGATCAAGCTGGCCTTCTTCGTCGCCATCATCGGCGTGACGCTGACGGTGCTGGGGATGGGCACCGAGTTCTGGGTGGAGCTGGCCCAGCCCAAGAACTTCAGTGGGAACCAGACCTGCCAGATGGCCCACTACGGCCTGTGGAAGGGCTGCGTCCGGACGCTGTGGGTGGCCGACATCGACCCGGAGAGGACCAGCTGCGGTCCGGCAGAACTTCCTGGAGGTGAGAGTTCCACCGGCGCCACAAACTTAAATCTGAACTGAACGGCTCGTACACAGCTGCATGATGTGAAGCTTTCTGCTGTCGAAGCAAATCTGCACCAATGAATGAATAAAAAGTGGATGATGACTAAACATGAAATGCATAAATATATATGTAGATAAATATAAACACGGTTTATACATAAAGTAAAGATCTCGTTTGAGCTATAATCTCTAACGATGAGGAGTCACTTTCCTTCAGGTATTAAAGTGCACTAAATTAGTTTAATGGACCCTTTAAAGCTGATTTAAGCAGTAAAAACAACAGCACTGGTTCCAGTTTAGAGCACAGAGCAGGTATGACGATGCAGACATGAGGACATTCAGTGTTTTGTAGAACAAGCTTTCTGGGACTAAAGTGTCTGTTCAGCTGAACTGAGGTCAAAGGATGTTTTTTAAACTGTTTTTTAGAGGTTGTGGAGGACAAATGTGTACATGTGATCAGCTGTAGTCTTCTCTTGCCATCACCACTGATGTGAAAACGGAGGGAGCCGGCGTAACTAACACAATGTTCGCCCTCCGGGAACCAGCTCACATCTTTAGGTCTTCATATGCACTGTACAAAAAAATAAAGTTAAAACAGTCTGTAAAAAAAAATCACAGTGAAAGTCTGGTAGCAAAGATTCCAGATGGAATATATATAAAAAACAAAAACTACCAAAATAATGGCAAATATCTATAAAATAATTACATTTTAGGCTGATTTTAATGCAG